ACTCTCTGTCCTCAAACTCAGAGATCCACCTGCCTCTGCCTCCCAAGTGCTGGGATTAAAGGCGTGCACCACCACTGCCTGGCTTATGACAGTTTTTTTTAAACGTTCTGGTAATTTAAATACCAAGCTGATGCTTTAAAGTCTTACCAATAACCAGGTTAGGCTCTAAGTCTTTGACTTAGAGGCTTTCAACTTATATTACAATTATATCTTTAAAAGGACAAGCTTTACATTAAGGATTGTTGATACTAGTAAAATATGATACAATAAGCAGCCTAATCTAAAACTGAAAAATGATTTAATATTTTTTGCTTTAAATTTATCTTTATTATACCTATGTATATATGTAGTGTGTATAAGTGCTTATGTCTTTATATTGCTTCCATGGTAGAATTTAGCTTATAATTAAGTGATCATATTAATTAAAACTTCCAAGCTGGCCTAAATTTCTTTTAGTCCACAGTGTAACTAAAGATAATATTTTTTAAAGTTAGACAAAGCAGTGGTATTAGTTTGATGAATTATCATCTCAGCTCTGAGGACATAAGAAGACTGCAATCCCCTTGTTGCTTCAGGATACTGTAGCTGCTATGCCAGCATTCAATCTCATTACTGTGAGAAAGGCCCTCTTCTCAGAGACGATCCTGTAGGGTCTGTGATTCTTAAAATGTAAAGACTAAGAAAAGAACTTAGCCTTGGGATTTCACAGTTCCTTAGGTAATTAATAGGCTTAAAAACAAACCCAATGTCGTGAGCCATGCTGGTTACTGTCCATAACTAAGGATGGGTAGTAGTGTTGATTCAACTACCTCAGCTCCGTTAAGGCATATTGGGGTAAATCTCACACACAAACTCTCAGTCTTACAAAATGCTCAAAAAAATTGGGCTTCTATACCACGAGTGTGACGTTCAGCATTCTATTCACACCGAGCTTTGATGATTGAACTGGAGAAGGAAGTTTCAACACTTCCCTTCTAGATCTGAGCCTGTGGCTCCCATTTTAGTAGGAATGAATGAAAGTGGTGTGTGATTTCAAGAGACTGAAGGGTTTTGGGTTTCTTGAGGTTAGCTTTTTATACCCCACTTCAGATATTTCAAGTGACCGCATTGTAATAACTCTTGAGATGGTGATGAGGCAGGGGAGGATGGCATTTAAGTTTCAGACCACTGAGAGCCACATTTAAAATACCTCAGGCTAATTACTGTTCACTTTGGGGGAAGAAATGTTTTGACAGGGTATGTTAATTGGATTGTACTTGGGAAAGTTCCTGCTGTTAATAAAATTCACATTGAGAAAAAAAAAACCCAAATAGTATGTCTCACCAAAATAATTGTTCATAGTTTCCCACAACTATGTCAGATTTCTTTTTAACATATCAAGGTTTATTATCAAGTTTATTTTATAATCTTTCACTGTCAAACTTTAGCCAAGTACTATATTATAGACAAATACTATTTTAATTAAAATGCTTAGATCTGTATATTTTATATGTATGAATGATTCCCTGCATGTATATGCTCAACATGTGAGGGCTTGGTGCCCTGAGGAAGTTAGAAGGACTCTAGATTTGTAAAAATGAAGTTGTGGGTGGTTTTGAGCCACGAACTGGTTGCCAGAAATTGGACCCATGTCAAGTGCAACTGTAAGCGCTCTTAACCTCTGCACCATTTCTGTAGCCCCAACAGCTCTGTTTTCAAACAGAACTTCATTAATACTGGAGCAACTGTCCTTCTGGGTGTTCAATAGCCATCCTTGGGAACCTGTACCTATATAGACAAGGACTAGAGGAATAGTATTTTAGACCCTATCTCCATCCAGGGATATTAATATCCATAGGACACGGGACACCTCAAAATTTCCTCCAACTTGGGTAACTTCTTTTGTCTAGATCCAAAGAGGCTGTAAAAGCTAGAGCCAGAAGTAGAGAACAGTGGAGAGCCAACATGGAAGGGAAATGACATCAGTGTTCACAAGAGAAGCCATTTGTCAACAAGGATCCTGACTTGTAAAAAGCAACCGGTAAAAACCTAAGAGAGCTTGGGATTTCTCTCAAATATACAGTATCTCAAGGAATGGAGTCTAAATTCACCTGGACACAATCACAAATGATAAAAGGTGGTATAATAACAATGACAATGATGATGACCACGATGATGGTGATGGTGATGATGATTGTCATTTTGGGCCACACATAATGGTCTTATAACCCAACAGAAAAGTATAGCCAAAGATGAAAATGATTGCTGTGAGACAAAACAAAGCTAACCTAGACTTTGAAAGGGACAAATGCTGTACTGTGTAGGAAAATCACAGCCAGCCCAAGTATACAACTCTATGTAAAACTCTTTAAATAAGTTTGTCTAAACCTATCAACAGTTGCATCCTTATTCACGCTCTGATTTTCTCCTTTGTTTTTCTTTTAACACTGTTGATGCTCAGCAGTTGCCACCCAACATCTCTGCCATCTTGTCATCCTTGTCATCTATTTCATCAAGAGACACTTTCTTCAAATCATTCTCTGCTTCTCACCACAGTCTTATATACAAAATCATCAGTGGTCTTTGTTTTCTTTTAACAATCCAAGCAAACATCTACTGCCCCACTTGCTAACACTGAAAACAAGCTGAAATCCTACTCCTACTCCTGAAAATCCAAAACCTCCTTTTGAAATAGATGGAATCTTGTGCTTCCTCTTAGGCAGTGATTATCATCATCATCAGTAAGGAAATATTTATTCAAGATGACTGATCATTCTTCTCCAGCCCTAAAAGCTTTTGGGGAGCACAACACTCACTGGAGAGCTGATACACAACCATTAGAAAAGGCAAGAGGTTCTAGGGATGAACATATAAAAGGTAGTGGTAGCTGAGAGCCTGAACGTCCTTAATACACCTTTGCTCCATGCACCCAAGGTAGTCCTCTTGGGAAATCTCCATTATGAGACCTTGGAGGAGTCTCATAAAAGCCCTCCCTTCAGCCCCTTTCCACCACCTTCCCAACTTTGCTGTCTAAAGGCCAGGCCACAGTCCAGATACGGCATATATTCAGGCTCCTCCACAGCTTCTCTTCTGTCTCTACAAGTCCCTGCACAGAGGCACAAGAACCTGCATGTGAGGGGTCTGCCTTCCAGACTCAGATAACCTCTTAACTATTTTTTTTAAGATTTGTTTACTTTATACATATGAGTATAATGTCACTGTCTTCAGACACCAGAAGAGGGTATCAAATCCCATTACAGATGGTTGTGAGCCACCATGTAGTTGCTGAGAATTGAACTCATGACCTCTGGAAGAGCAGTCAGTGCTCTTAATTACTGAGTCATCTCTTCAGCCCAGATAATTTCACCTATACATCTTAATGCCAGTGTGGACAGCATTGTCCCTCTTGTGAATACTAAGGTGTAGAAAGAGGTTTTTTTGTTTTGTTTTTGTTTTGTCCTTTTGTTTTGTTTTGTTTTGTAGGAAGCAATAGAAGGCTTCCTCTGTGATTTCCCAGACTTCTGAGTTGTCTCTGTCTCAGCACTACGAAAAGACTGTTTATCACTACGACCTTGAGGATTGTGATTATGTTTACATTTGTGGATGTAGACATTCCTCCAGACTTTGGGCCAAGGAACTTTTTTGTCTGAATTGAAGAGTTACTCTTCATATGTCTTGAAATCTATATTGAATATTGCTGCTATGTAACTTCATGTTTCTGTAATTCAATAATTGTATTCATTGGTTGTTGCTTTAATTTTATTGGTTGAGTAGCAGTGCATAGTGGCCCACGCCTTTAAAACCCACCACTCTGGAGGCAAAGGCAGATGGATCACTGTAAGTTTGTGACAAGCCTGGTCTCTATGATGAGTAGTACTTGGACAGCCACAGCTACATAACAGAGATTCTGCCTCACAAACAATAAAAACAAGCAAATTCAATAAATTGAAACACAAGGTATTATAAGGGTAAAAATTAAAACAGCTTAGCAGAGACCACAAACAACTTGGCAAAGACTGCAGGACAGCTTGCTGAGCTTGCTGAGAATAGCCATAATAAAAATATCAAGCCCCTCTAGGGACGAGGTGACCAGAAATGTAGAAACAACCAAAGACATATCTTGACCAGTCTAAACATGCCCAAGTGAGTAATGGGCCACCTGGTGTTTATCCTGGAAGGTCTGAGACATCATGGTCAAAAATAGTGGGCCATCCAACCTGTCAAAATGATTGCTTACGCAAACTGCTGATGTTTGAAATATCCAATCATATGTAATCGCGCCAGAATTTCCCACTTTTCCCTTCCCCCTTGTGCCTCCCCCTATAAAAGTTCTAAACTTCCTGGGGTCTTCATCGAAATTCTCTCCCCTGCGTGGGATGAGTTTCGATCCAAGGGCCCTTGTTAGTAAACTGCCTTTTGCCATTGCATCAAGTAAGTCTCTCGTGTCTCCTTGGGTGCGCGCTAATTGGGACTTGAGTTGGGGTCCTCTTCCTGGGTCCTTACAGTATGAGAGAGCCTCACAACATTTGCCTCATTCCAAATTCATGAGTTTCCATAATAGGCCCTCCTTGTTCCTGTCTCTGGACAGATCTTGGGACTCCTTTGATTTTGTGGGTTTTCCCATTAAGAACTTGAATCAGGAATGTTCAGGGCCAACTTGGATACTGTTTGTGATCAAAGCAATAGAGAGCCCCAGAGTTCGCAAGAAGCGAATGTAAGCAGCAAAAAGTAGCCTGTTTCCCTTAAATGCAAAGTTATAAACCAGGTCGGGACAGGCTTAGCCCAGCTTAAAAAAAAAACCGAAAACAAAAAGACTGGGGTACAAAAGAATCTGCCATTCTAACTGCATTGGAGAAGACGAATGTTATTAATTAAGGCATTTAAGCTCAAGGCTGTCACTATCTTTCCTCAATCAGGGGTGCTGTTACTGCTATTCGGGAACTGTCCAATGACGAACCCATATATTCGGAAGGCCCCGCCCTTGCCGCCATGTTTGAGTCCTGTGTCGTCGAGAAGGTCTGTGTTGTTGGATCTGGACTATCTCTCCCGTTTTTAGGCCTGTTGGGAAGAACACTTGGATGCATCTGAAAGAGGAAATGGTGAGTGTGCCTTGGGCTCCTGGAGCCGTAAGTGAAAGATTTGTGACACTGCAGAGTCTGTGGCGCTGTTGCCTGCAGTTCCCTTGGTGCTGTGCAGCCGACTGTGCCCTGGAGCCGGGCACTGGCTCAGTAATGCCCAAAGCACTGGAATTGTGTGCAGGGCAGGCGGCCGGGCACTGGAGCCCGCCCCGTTCTGTCCTAGGGAAGCTACTTCGTCCTAGGCCCCTATCTTCATGGGGTAAGTCCTCACCTGGAACCTGCGCTTCCGCAGACACTACAGCACTGCCAGGTTGGTGACGCTGAGTCCAGACTGATGTAAGGGGACTTGGGTGGTGTGAGCAGTTGCTCCTACCCTTACAGGTATGTCTGTGCTGCTTTAGACTTTTTCTCTCATCGCCTTTGTAAATTATATTCTCCTTAGTACTGCAGTTGAACACTAGGCCCGCACAAGGGCTTTGGCTTTAGGCTATATTCCCCAAACTCCAACTTATAAATCTCAATCTCTCTCTCTCTGTCTCTCTGTCTCTCTCTGTCTCTCTCTCTGTCTCTCTCTCTGTCTCTCTGTCTCTGTCTCTCTCTCTCTCTCTCTCTCTCTCTCTGTCTCTCTCTCTCTGACTCTGTCTCTCTCTGCCTCTAACTCTCTCTGTCTCTCTCTGTTTCTCTGTGTGTGTGTCTGTGTGTTCTGTGTTTTGCCCTTTTAAAAATGAAATTTAAAGAGTATTTAGTTGTGCCCTCTGTGAGAGTGGGCCAAATTTTTCAATCTTAGAGGAAGTAGAGAAGTATAAGTTTGATTGTTTTTTTTTCCCACTGACCATTTCTGAGGCCAAAATTCGGGTTTTTAAAAAGCTTTCCTAGACTTGGTGTTTGTGAGGCCTGTGAAGGAGATTAGGTGCTTGTGGATATACGTCATTTGCTTGTGTGCTGGAGGCTGCTTCTCCAAATAGAAGAAATTGTGACTGGGAGTATTTGATCAATATGTCATCAATACCAGATGACATTCTCTGTGGGAGAAAAAAAGAAGTTAGTGTTTTCAGTAGAATATTCATTTGTACAGTATCTGTCAGTTCGTGGACTTGAGTTGTCAAAGTTGTCATCGTTAAGGTCCTTTTACCCTTTTGCTGGGGTTTATTTCTAAGTAATTCTTTTCCTGTTACTATGAATGGTATTTTGTTTCTGATTTTTCTTTCACTCTAGTTTTTATTGGAGTAGAGAAATGCTATTGTTTACTGTATATTGATTTTATGCCCTATGTTTAAAAAGCATTAAATGATACAAAAATATTACTTTTTAAAATTCTCTCTGTATTGTATTCATGCTCAAATTGATGGCAATGTTAGGAGTGTACTAGATAATTTTGCCTAATTGTAGGTACAATAATGAGTAGTTGCATATTAAAATGAGAAAGATCATGGAGAGGGTAACATTGTTATGAAACTGTATACTATTATTTGAAAATGAATTTAAATTACTTGTACAATGAATTTTTTTAAAACTCTGAGTAAACAGTATTTAGAAAAGAGCACTTTTGATTTTCTAGTAGAATTTGAAAAGAAAACAATACCAAATTAAAAGGAAAGAATAAGATCTCGAGAGACGGATGACTCAGCTATCAATAGAATGCTTGCTACTTTTGCAGAGGACCTGGATTCTGTCCCCAGAGCCAGGCTGGGCAGCTCACAAACACCTGTAAATCTCTTTTGGCCTCTAAAGCCTGTACACAAATTGTATACACACAGACATACACAGAGACATATAAAACAATAAATCTTAAATAAAAACAAGCAAAATATAGTTTATTGCAATGAGAGCAGTTACACATAAAAGACATACAAATTTTTGTTAATAATTGTCCATTTGAATGTCAGGTGTGTGTGGGGGGGTTGCCACTCGCACAAGGGAGTGACAGAAAACATTAGAATAGAAAACCTATCTTTCTTATATGGGAAAAATAATCACATGTAAGAGATGGAGTTTAGTAGTGATGGTGCCATTGTTGAGGGGATTAAAAATATGAGCCATTGCTTATCGTAGTGAACTCCTGAATTGCTTCTCAGCTAATGGTGGGGCTTTGGAAGCCACTCCCAAGTCCATTGCTAGAGTGTTTCACTGGCATGATCCCATGCAGAACCTGTGTGGGTAACCACAGCTATTGTTAACTCATGTATGCAGCAGCCATGCCATGCACTGAACACTGCATTTCACGGCACTGCTCACATCCCCCAGCAGCACTTCAGGAGTGGGGTGACTGTGATATATGGCCTGACCATGGTTTTTTGTTGTTGTTGTTGTTTTGTTTTGTTTTTTTGTTTTGTTTTTTGGAATGTAGATTTGGGAGCTTTGGATTTGGAAAGCCATGGAATGCTTTAAGAGGGACCTAATGGGCCATCCTAGTAGGAATATGGAAGACATTGGTGCTGAGGGTGATTTGAACTCTGGACCTCATTCTTTTGATGTTTTAGTGAAGAGTGTTGCTGCTTTTTATCCTTGTCTGAAGAGTCTGCTGAGGCTAAGGTAAAGAGATTTATATTAATTGCATTGACAAAGGAAGTCTCAGAAAAAAGCTCAGCCTAGACTTTGTCCTCTGGTGTACTCTCATGGAGATCATTTTGATCAAGCTTAGCCAGCTTAGGAAAGAAAAATACAAAATGTTTAGTTCTAGTAATAAAAGGGACCAGGGAGTACAGTAGAGCTAGATCCTCTATTTGAAGAGATAAACAGATTAAGGGAGTGGTGACCTTGGGGCAAGATCCTACCAGCTAAGCTTATTGTCTATGTATTTGCCATTGCATTAGGAATAGTTATATCATTTTGGCATTATTGTTACTTGTTTATTGTTTTCATTTGGACTTTTAATCTGGAATGAACTACAGTCCAGAAATGGAGGACACAGGCTTTTGATCCAGATCTTGAGGAATAGTGGCCATAAAAAGCATAGGTCCAGGCATGGTAGTTAGTACATACCTTTAAACCCAGGAGACAGGCAAACAGATCTCCGAGTTCAAGGCCAGCCTGGTATTCAGCAAATTCCAAGTAGAGAAAATCTTAGGTCTAGATGGGGTGGTACATGCCTTTAGTCCCAGAACTCAAGAGACAGAGGCATGTAGATCTCTGAGTTCAAAGCAATCTACAGAGCAAACTCCAGGATAGCTAAGCTTAGGCAGTGAAGACATTGAAAAACAGAAAGTTGGTGATGATATAATAGAACAAGGGGGCCATGATCCAGCCCAAGCAAGCATCAGTACCTGGCAGCTCTGGCCGTGTGACTCTGACTTTAGAATCAAGAATAGAAGGGACTACTGGGACAATTGATGCTGGTTAGCTGGAGCTAAGAAATTAGCAGTGATTAAGAAGAGACCAGCATCACTGAAGTAAAATCTTCTGGGAAGTGTTATCTGAGAACACAAAGAAGCTGTGTTCCAGAAATAACTAAAGTTGTACCTCATGCTGCAGCTGGACTTGGTAATGTATAAGAGTCACCCAGGTGGTACTGGTTTTGAAGGCATTAAGGGATCATGACTAACAGGTGAGGTTGGCACTGTAAGAGGCCTAGGAAGGCCATTGGTAAAGGTGCAGCCTCAGTTGTAGTTGATGGCCCAGGACTGAAGGGGTCATGCAAAGAAATTGAAGCTTGGCATCATGAAGAAAGCCTATGAGAGGCTATTGGTGAAGCCTAGTTGCAGTAGAAGACTACAGCACATTGGAGATGACAGTACTCTTGAATGATAACCAAGAACAGCAGCAGCAGTGGAGTCGAGTCAAGCAGAGCCTAGAGTGCTATAGAGAACAGAGCTGGAGAAGTGACCTGAGCCCTTTGGAGGAACCCAAAAGATCATGTGTATGGATCCCAGACACTGGAACAAAAAGCTGTTAAGTTGAAGTTGCCTTGGATACCCCAAAATATTAAAGATGTCAGAGCCATGGGATATCTGCTGAGGAGTGCTGCTAAAAGGTAGTGGAACCAGCGCAAAAGAATGTAGTTTGTTACTGCGGAATGCCAGATCTGTCAACAACAGTCAACAAGGATGAAAGGAGTTAGAGATCTGAAGACTGCTTTGACACTGGACATGGAGACATGGAGTTTGGAGTTTGACCAGCTGGTATTTTCTTGCTTTGGTCCAGTATTTCCTTGCTAGGATGTTTTGGAATAATTATGTATATCCTATGGCATGATATGTTGGAAGTATGTGATCTGCATTTTGATTTTATAGGAGATTACAGTTAAGAGATTGCATGAATCTCAAAAGAGACTTTGAACTTTGGACTTTGAACACTGGTGAGACTGATAGACCATGGGGATTTTTCAAGTTGAACTAAATGTATTTTTGCACTATGCTATGGCTAGATATGGCCCCCATAGAGTCATGTGTTTGAACAAGCCTATGGAGGCCAGGGAGTGGAATGTGGTGATTTGAATATGCTTGGCCCAGGGAGTGTCACTGTTAGGAGGTATGGCCTTGTTGGAGGAAGTGTGTCACTGTGGGAATGAGTTTTGGAGGTCTCCTACTATGCTCAGGTTGCACCCATTACAGAAGAGAGCTTCCTCCTAGCTGCCTGAGGATGCCAGGCTCTCTCCTGGCTACAGTTGGATAAAGATACAGAATTCTCAACTCCTTCTACAACACCATGCCTGCCTGGATGCCCCCATGCTTCTTGCCATGTAAGCCAGCACCAATTAAATATTGTCCCTTATACAAGTTGCCTTGGTCATGGTGTCTCTTCGCAGCAATAGAAACTCTAAGACAGGATGCCACTGGGGGCTCTATGACCAATAAATTATATAATGATGACTTGTCCCTGTGACATTTGGGAGCAACATTATTCACTAATATATGGTAATTCTGTTTGTTTTGATCTATGTGGGCTTGTGGCCAGCATGATCTGCATACATAGTTCTAGGCCAATGAGGGCTACCTAGTAAGACTTTGTTTCCTATTCCCTCCAAGAAAATTGTATTTTAAATTCACTTGCAAACTAGTGGTGTTTCATGATGCTACTTCACA